GTAAAATTTAAAAAAGGAAAAACCTACAAAAACATCCTGTTCATACTATTTAAAGGGGGCTGTATCAGAAACTTGAGTTTTAGATTAGCCTGTTTATTTAAAAAACAACAACAAATCCCCTAAACTTGACAGTGTCCCTATTAAAGCATTTCTGGATTCAGCTGGATGAAAGGGGCAAGATTTGAGTCTTTATTTCCAGGAAAGGACATTAGTGACGTGTATCCCAACACCCCCCCCCCCCCCCGCCCCAGCTTTGTGCCCTTTGTTCTTTTGCCAAGTCACACTTGCTTTTTAATGAATGTAGGTTTGAGAAAAGTTCAACCTTGTTACGAAATGCTGCTGCTTTACTATAGAATAGCAACTGAATGCGTCTTACCTGGCTTAATATAAATTGGCACTGCTGGTCTAATGGGCTTCAATGTGTCCTCCAAACCATCAACTGCTGCAGGATTTGAGTCCATTTATAAACAAAAACCCCATCCCAATGTGCCTGGAGTGTAAAGTAATGCAGCATTGCCTTAGTGTCTGCAGACTGCTCCATTCTCATTGCTTCTGTTCCTGGCTTTGCACAGCAGTAGCAGAATGAAACTAACAAGATTGGTCAGTTTCACCACTGCTGTTCCCTTGTCTGTGGGCAACAGTGATCCCTTCTGGAGGAAGGGAGGGGAGATGACAGAAAGCTCCTTCTCCCTTTCAGCAGCTAGCAGGAGAGGGAGATGGACACTTCAGACTTCTGCTAGCCAAAGGCCTATATGAAAGTTAGTGCAAATCCCACTGCTCTGCGCTTTGGGACAGCCAGAGTGATGTGCCCAACTGTGGGTGATAGATAGTGGAGCTAGCCTTCTCACGTGGGCACTTGCCTCTGGACCTCGCTTGACTTTCAAATCAGTCTCTGGTGAGCAGGTAGATGTCTGCCAAATTTTTGAAGTCTTGATCTCTCTCGTGCACTATTCAACCTGAAAATTAAGGTTCTGCCTGCTGTCATAAGAGGGAAGTTGCAGTGGCTTAGGGCTTCCATTGTCATCTAGGTTCAAATTCAGCGATGGTCCCTGAAATTAAACTGAATTCTGCCTCAGATCAGAAACGCTTGTTAGTGGGAAAATTGCCATTTTTCTTGTTTCTTTTCTCTAGTCCCCAACTTTCCATTTTGAAGTGTTATTCTAATCTGATGTGTCTCTCATAGAATCATAGGACTGGAAGGGACCTCAAGAGGACATCAAAAGTCCCCTGCACACCTGGCAGGACTAAGTATTATCTAGACCATCCCTGACGGGTGTTTGTCTAACCTGCTCTTAAACATCTCCAATGATGGAGATTCCACAATCTCCCTAGGCAATTTATTCCAGCGCTTAACCACCCTGACAGGAAGTTTTTTGTAACGTCCAACCTAAACCTCCCTTGCTGCAATTTAAGCCCATTGCTTCTTGTCCTATCCTCAGAGTTAAGAAGAACAATTCTTCTGCCTCAACCTTTTATGTACTTGAAAATTGTTATCATGTCCCCTCTGTCTTCTCTTTTTCAGACTAAACAAACCCAATTTTTTTTCAATCTTCCCTCATAGGGAATGTTTTCTAGACCTTTAATCATTTTTGTTGCTCTTCTCTGGACTTTCTCCAATTTGTCCACATCTTTCCTGAAATGTGGCTTGCAGAACTGGACACAATACACCAGTTGAGGCCTAATTAGAGCGGAAGAATTACTTCTCGTGTCTTGCTTACAACACTCCTACAAATACATCCCAGAATGATGTTCACTTTTTTTGTAACAGTGTTACACTGTTGACTCACATTTAGCTTGTGGTCCACTATGACCCCCAGATCCCTTTCCGCAGTACTCCTTCCTAGGCACTCATTTCCCATTTTGTATGTGTACAACTGATTGTTCCTTCCTACTTTGCATTTGTCCTTATTGAATTTCATCCTATTTACTTCAGACCATTTCTCCAGTTTGTCCAGATCATTTTGAATTTTAATCCTATCCTCCAAAGCACTTGAAACCCCTCCCAGCTTGGTATCGTCCACAAACTTTATAAGTGTACTCTGTATACCATTATCTAAACCATTGATGAAGATATTGAACAGAACCGGACCCAGAACTGATCCCTGCGGGACCCCACTCATTATGCCCTTCCAGCATGACTGTGAACCACTGATAACTTCTCTCTGGGAATGGTTTTCCAACCAGTTTTGCACCCATCTTATAGTAGCTCCATCCAGGCTGCATTTCCCTAGTTTGTTTATGAGCCAGTCATGCGAGACAGTATCAAAAGCTTTACTAAAGTCAAGATGTACCACGTCTACCACTTCCTCCCTATCCACAAGGCTTGTTACCCTGTCAAAGAAAGCTATTGGCTTGGTTTGACATAATTTGTTCTTTACAAATCCATGCTGACTGTTACTTATCACCTTATTATCTTCTAGATGTTTTCAAATTGATTGCCTAATTATTTTCTCCATTATCTTTCCAGGTACTGAAGTTAAGATGACTGGTCTGTAATTTCCCCAGTTGTCCTTATTTCCCTTTTTATAGATTGGCACGATATTTGCCCTTTCCCAGTCTTCTGGAATCTCTCCTGTCTTCCATGACTTTTCAAATGGCTAATGGCTCAGATATCTCCTCAGTCAGCTCCTTGAGTATTCTAGGATGCATTTCATCAGGCCCTGGTGACTTGAAGACATCTAACTTGTCTAAGTAATTTTTAACTTGTTCTTTCCCTATTTTAGCCTCTGACCCTACCTCATTTTCACTGGCATTCACTATGTTAGGCATCCAATCACCATCAATCTTCTTGGTAAAAACTGAAACAAAGAAGTCATTAAGCACCTTTGCCATTTCCACATTTTCTGTTATTGTTTTCCCCACCCCCCACTGAGGCCTACCCTGTCCTTGGTTTTCCTCTTGCTTCTAATGTTTTTGTAGAATGTTTTCTTGTTACCCTTTGTCTTTAGCTAGTTTGATCTCTTTTGGTGCCTTGGCCTTTCTAATTTTGTCCCTACATACTTGTGTTATTTGTTTGTATTCATCCTTTGTAATTTGACCTAGTTTCCACTCTTTGTAGGACTCTTTTTGATTTTTAGATCATTGAAGATCTCCTTGTTAAGCCAGGGTGGTCTCTTGCCAGACTTCCTCTCTTTCCTACGCAGTGGGATAGTTTGCTCTTGTGCCCTTAATAATGTCTCTCTGAAAAACTGCCAACTGTTTTCAATTGTTTTTCCCTTTAGACTCGCTTCCCATGGATCTTACCTACCAAATCCCTGAGTTTGCTAAAGTCTGCCTTCTTGAAATCCACTGTCTTTCTTTTGCTGTTCTCCCTCCTACCAGTCCTTAGAACAGTGGTTCTCAAACTTTTTTTTTTTTTTTTTTTTTACCTTTTTTAATTTTTTTTGTTTTTTTTTTGACCACTTAATGATCTTTCCAAATGTTGTTTGTACCATTACCTAACTACTGTAAAGCACTTTGGATAAAAGCACTATTAAAAAAAAACTTTAATTTTTTTTTTGTTCTACAAATAAAAGCACACAACTCATTTTAATATCAGCAGTCTTACCTTTCTAATGCGATGGATGTGCCCTCTCTCTCCTATTGCAGCAGCACCCGAGCTGGGGCTGGGAAGGACGGGGGGTCTCTCCCCTGCCACAGAGCTGAGGCCGGGCAGGAGGGCCGTCTGTCCCCGGTAACCATAGCCCTGGAGCTGGGAAAAGTCGCCTCTTTCTCTGGCCACTGCAGCCCTGCACGTCCCAAATTCCCCCCACCCATTCTTCTCACCCCACTGCCCCCTCCCACCTACCCCCTATACCCCCCCAAGGTCACCACCTCACCTTACATGTGCGTCTTCCCCAGGGTCCAGGCACCTAATTAGTGGAGCCATGCCAGCTTGGCTCCACTAATTAGGTGGGTGGCCCTTCATTCTCATGTGCGGCTGCCCAGGTGCACACCTTAGAGGGAACTATCCGCAGACCACATGAATGGAGCTTGCAGACCACTAGGTGGTCCGCGGATCATAGTTTAAGAACCTTTGCCTTAGAATCGTTAACTCTACCATTTCACGATCACTTTCACCCAAGCTGCCTTCCACTTTCAAATTCTCAACCAGTTCCTCCCTATTTGTTAAAATGAAATCTAGAACAGCTTTTCCCCTAATAGCTTTCTCCACCTTCTGAAATAAAAAAATTGTCTCCAATACATTCCAAGAACTTGTTGGATAATCTGTGCCCTGCTGTGTTATTTTCCCAACAGATGTCTGAGTAGTTGAAGTCCCCCATCACCACCAAGTCATGTAGGTGTCTAACTTGGGGAACAGATCTCACTTGGTTTCAAAGTACAAAGATGGTAGGTGGTCCTCCCCGAGCCCTACAAACTTGACCTAAGACCTGTCTCAATCTGGGTTCTCTCCTTCATCATTGCTAGTAATAAAGATTCTGCAGGTTAAATGGGGTGTGTGTGTGTGTGTGTGTGTGTGTGTGTGTGTGAGAGAGAGAGAGAGAGAGAGAGCGAGCCCTGTGCAATCCTGCTATTTTAGTGGGTTTACACAGGTGGGAGGGTACAGTAACACAGGAAAGTGGTGTTTAAAAAAAAAAAAAAAAAATCCACTGTTAATGCACAGGAAACAGACTCCAGCTCTCTCATTCAGAATGGTGTCAGCTCTGCAGGGCTTGTAGGAGTTGAAAGGAGTAGCAGCTTACTTTTTGTCATGGAAGTCAGCAAATCTTCCCTCAATCCACAGTGGAAAATCTCCAGTGAGACGTAGTTACATTTGAAAGTAGAACTGCATATAGATAAAGGATGGAATTTAAAAAAATTGGTTTGTCTTGTCTACATAAATTGTAAGCTCCTTGGGGGCTGAGCCCCTCACTGTGTGTATGTACAGTGCATAGTACAATGGCACCCTGATCTCTCTTAGGGCATCTACATATTATTGTAATACACACATTAATCAAATGTTAGGATAATAAATGAAATGACCAAGTGTGTTACTTTTCTCCTTTTCTTCCTTCTTCCAGGATCGAATCATCAACTTAGCTGTTGGTAGCTTAACATCCTTGCTGCTTATAGTAAGTATTCCACTTCCCAAACTACATTTTTCTTTCTATGGTTCAAATCCTGATTCTGTTGGAAGTTTTAATGGCAAAACTTCCACTGACTTGAGTGGGCCTAGGTTTTAGCCCCAAGTGCTTCCATCCTTTGCACACTGGCTTGCTAGTCATGTGAGACCCTTTGCCTTTAGGAAAGGGAGAATGCCATTTTCTTTCGGTAGTTTTATTTTCTGCTGCCGCTTTGCGGGAACTGAGTCCTTTTAAAAACAAGTAATCAAGTTCCCAAATCCACGCGAGAAAGGAACTCTTCAGCGGCACTCCCTAGTGCTGGATGAAATTTTTACATGTGTTTGAGGCGCCCATTGCTCTGCTATCTCACTGTGCTTTCCTCCAGCTCTTGAAAGAACCAAATGCTATCACAAAAATGGGGAGTCTACTCCATGATCTGTGATGGTAGCCACTGACTCTCCTGCCTTTTGAGAGCCAACATGATGGGTAGCATTTGAAGCCTGAATATTCAGGGAATCCAGCCCGTTGTTGGAAAGTCCAGAGAAAGAAAACCCTTGAACAACACCAGGATAGAATGCCATGCCCATCACAGAGAACCTCCAGCCTCAACTCCCTTGAGCTTCACCTTAGAGACATGTAGCAGAAACATCCCTTCCAAGCAATAATGCTGGCATGAAGCATAGGTGGGGAAGTAGTTTGGAAGATAGCTGGGGACCATTTGCATGTTTGTAAATTATGACCAGAACCTTGGAAGTAAATTAGCTGCTGCAAAGAGTCAGACACTCTGCTGCAGTATTTTTTTGGTTTAGTTGGCTTAACATTTAGCTAGCCACATGCTATATAGCCAGTTGGAACTTTTTGACTGGCCTTCAAAATTAAACCCAGTTATGTATGAGCTGGTCCTTGAGGTGACAAGGTACAAGATAATGTGGCAAGGCCTGCATCCATGAGGGATGGTTACAGTCCTCTGGGAGCAGGATATCTTTCAAGACTGCCAGAAGGAGCACTATTCTGGTTAATACATGAGGAGTTCTACATGGCTTTTTCTCCCTTAAGTTTCTGTGTGTGACCCTTGAATTTTCCGTTTCCATCTGTCCTTCTACATGGACATGAGGATTGTATTGGGCCACTAGAAGGGAACTATTGTACAATCACTAAGGATTGTGCCTATGTGGTTAGGGGTACTGTGTTATTTAAAAATTCTGTCCCTAGTCCTTTCCAACCTCCTATACCTCCACCTTGCCTCTCGCCATGGTGGGTGGGTATTGGTTGTAGTGAGACACACCCAAAGTGGAATCCTAAACTGTTTCCTTGGTCACTTCATAACTCTGCTTCCCTGAGTGGGTGTGGATGGGTTTTTTTGCCATTATGAAAATATTTAGTCTCTCTGTATTCCTCTGTACAGGTCACGCTGATCAGTGCTTTTATCTTTCCTCAACTACCTCCAAAACCAGTGAATATATTTTTTGCTTTCTGCATCTCCTTGTGTAGTGTTTCTGCTGGCATACTTGTAAGTATTGCTACATTTATTGTGAAATATACACAATTGTATTTTATGCACATAATAGATCCTTTGTTTTTCATAATACAGTAGTGAACTAGCTACACTAAGTAGGGCAGCTGTAGATTATAGTACATGGTGCACTTGAAATCTGGTAAAGCACTGGATATTGGTCAAAGGTAGATATCTTATGTTTATTCTGCGAGTGCAGAGGGATAGACTTTCTATCAAATATCTTCTGTTCTCCTATTGTCCCCTCCTGAGCATCCAGGCCACAACATCCCAATATTTAACACATATTCACAGTAGGCTTGTCTATGCGCCTGCTACAGAGTGTACAGGTCACATCCTACAACAAAAGACTATGCTATGGTTAGGGGTTTACTTAAATCACGGAGAAATCACACATTTTTTGCAGGTTGGTCACGGTATAAATAGATTTCATAGCTTTGTTACACATCTCGAAATTTTGTTATTTATGCCATGACTAACACACAGTGTGTGATTTCTCCACAGCGTTTGTCAAACTGGGGGCCCTGACCCAAAAGGGGGTCACAAGTCTACTGCAGGGGGTCATGGGATCGCCACCCTTACTTCTGTGCTGCTGCTGCTGCTAGCAGTGCAACCTTCAGAGCTGGATGCCCGGCCAGCAGCCCCTGCTCTGTCTTCAGAGCTGGGCGGCTGGAGATCAGCTTTCATGGTCCATGACACGATTTTCACAGCCGTGAATTTTGTAGACCTCCTAGCTATGGTGTGTCTTCATACACAACAGGCAAGACTTAACTTCTGTACTGGTGGGAGCTGCCACAGGAAAGGGAGGATAGGGACGCAAGCAGAGTTAAAGTTGGCATCTCAAGTATGTAAAGATTTTCTGGCAATCATTAGGGGGATTTTTTTTTTTTTTTTAATTTGACTCCAATTTGTTTAACTATGAATTTCCTAGCTTTCAAACAACCATTGAAATAACAAATCTACTTGACATGTTAATGGCTTATTGACACATCTGAAGATAAGGGCTTGTCTACACTTAAAATGCTACAACTGCACTGCTGTAGTGCTTCAGTATAGACATTACCTATGCTGACAAAAGGGATTCTCCTGTCAGCATAGGTACTTCCACCTCCTTGAGAGGTGGTGGGGTAGGTAGGCAGACAGAAGAATTCTTCTGTCAACCTAGTGCTGCCTTCACAAGGACTTAGGTCTGTTTAACTACACTGCTCAGGGGTGTGGATTTCTCACACCGCAACCATCATAGTTAAACCGACCTGATTTTCTAGTGTGGACCAGGCCTTACTGTTTGCAAAGCAAGCTCACCAGTCTCGTTGCTTGCATAAGTAACATTTCTCAAAATGAAACTCTTATGTCTATAGGAACGGTAAGTGAGCTGACTGTGATACTGGCAGCCAATACAGGAGTGGTTAGTGCATTCCACAAGAATGCTGAAAGAGAGAGGTGGGTGGCTGTTCCTAGTGCTTAGTTTGCAGTGAGGTTTCCTTCTATTAACTGCTCTCTTCATTAGTCTGATTTAAGGGGGGGGGGGGCGGGATGTTAAAGAAAACCCTAGAAGTTCTTAGTTTCACAGTTACTTACTCCTGCACTGAACTGTAGCCTGTTTATCTTGCATATAAATACCTGACTTTATTTCTAATGCAAAATCCCTCTTTCCTTTCTAGATCTACTGGTATCGACAAGGAGACTTGGAACCTAAGTTTAGGAATCTAATTTACTATATCTTATTTTCTATTGTCATGTTATGTATATGTGCCAACCTGTACTTCCATGAAGTGGGTAAATGATTGCGAGACTGTTCTTAGCTCCACCCTAGAAACAAAGGGGATAATCAACTGGACAGGGATGAAGAAATGGGTTGTTCAGGGATAATCAGTACATGATTTTCATGTAAATGTATATCTAAAGTCCCTCGTGTTGGGAAGAATTATTGCCATATGACATGACACTTTGCTTTTATTTAAGAGCTAACTTTGCACTTAATGCACATTCCAACTATACTGATGTTTCAGAAGGGCACAAGCTTTTTCATTTTGGAAAAAACTGCATTTTTTTTATTATTGTACAAATAACTGCAGCATTGCAAAGATCTGTAACAGAATAAATAAATGGCATCTTACAGTTACATAAGACAAATACTTTATTTTTGTTTAAACTGACTATACAATTATTTCTGTTCCCTAGGCAACCTTTTGTTGAAACTACAACTTAATTCCACATTAACAAAACCACAGACTGAAAGACCAACTCTGATTATGAAGAGCTAATTACAGAAATAAATAAAATAATTTATACATCAGTCTCTAATTTCTGTAGTTATTTCCCCCCCACTCACTCATTCTCTCACACACTCACACACACACACGCACACTTAGAAGGCTGCTCAGCCTTGTGTGTCTGCTAGGAGCCCGAAGTGTCGAATGAATTGCTTTCCACTGCTTTAGGGACATAGGCCTAAACTATCACTGAACTGCTTCTTCAAGACCTTGCAAAGGGTGCTACCACCTCCTTGCCATCCCCCAAATATTAATGTGCTGCATACAACTCACCTTCAGAGAGAGGCTGGAAGTGTAATGAGAATAGCTAGGTAGGTAGGCAGTCTTTCTACCCGACTTGGAATGGCCTCTGAAGGTTAGAGGCTTTTTTGTTCTCTAGGCTTTAGAGGGATGCTGGTGGACCTCCATAGCCTTCCCTTTCTTATAAGTTTCCCTTTTATTGAACTTGCTGTAGTGATTAATTTTTTACTTAAACAAACAAACACGTCTGATCTTTCTGCAACTCCATCCATTGCCAGCAACGGACTCTTCAGGAACAGGCATAGCGAAAGACAACCCTGTAAGCATCTGTAACTAGGGTCCTATGTGCTGGAAATACTGGTACATCAAATGAGATTGGGAAAACAGACCCCTTCTGCAATACTGCTCCTGCCCTTACCCTCTAAAGTCACTGAGATATCCTCAGCTAAATTTCAAGAGGAAAAGTAACAACTCTGTATTTTAGAAGAGCCAGTAAGTGCAGAAATCCTCATCCACTTTCCATGAAATGTGTGCAAACTAATTCTTGTTGCTGCACTAATAAGCTAAGGCCTACAGTCCTTGGCTTCCATCCAGTTTTCAAGGTGCATAAAGTCCAACACATGGGCAACAGCCAGCTCAAAATGATTGAGTGGATCCTAGCAGTGTGCAACTGAGACTCTCAATAACCCCTTGCTGAAAAGCAGTGGACTGGGGCTTCAGTTAGCTGCTGTACCCCTTTACAAATGAGGTACATAGTCTTATGAGCAGTAAAAGTGCACTGTAGCCATTTCAACTTGAGAATGTTTTAAACATGTTGACTGACTAGTTTCTTTGGAAGGTGGTACAGGGTTGCAACTGTAATTTCATGATGCAAACAGGTTAATTTAGAAAGCAGACATGATTACTGCTTCTTAGTGACAACTCACTAAGTCTTCAACATCCTTTGAATCTTCAGAATCAGGACTGTCCAAACACGAGCCAATAATGTGTGATCCCTCTCCATGATGTTGCAATATAGGATCTGCAATGAGCCATAACATATTAAGGACTCAAACTTATTGTACTGCTATAAAAACTTACCTCAAAAGCACATAGGTAATGCTTTGCATCAATTTAAATAAAACTATTAAAATGTAGCTACTCTGAGACCCTCTAGTTTTTCCAAAACAATTTCCTCTAAAAAGCAAGTATACAGAATTGCACACAACAAATTACTGATCAATCTCCGATCTCTAACTCAAGTCTCACACTGAGTGGTTTCCAAAAGGGCTGGAACTGCTACCACCCATCAACATTTTTCCAGCTACAGTATAAGTAGTCTAAAACTAATTAGTTGGCATTTAACATTGGTGCAGTGGAGGAAAACAGATGAATGCATGACTTCCTTGTTTTTAAAAAAGCTTCCAAATCCTTTCATCTAAAGAGGCTTATTTCTAAAGTTTCAAACTAACAATGATTCGGAAGGTAAGTTATACGAAGATTCCATAGATAAAGGCTACAATGCACAGAATGATTAGAGGAGCTCAATTACCATATTGAACTAAAGCAGCCATTCTCAAACTGTGGGTTGGGACCCCGTTTTAATGGGGTCACCAAGGCTGGCTTAGACTTGCTGGGGCCCAGAGCCGAAGTCCAAGCTGCACTGCCTAGGGACGAAACCAAAGCCCGAGGGCTTTAGCCCTGGGTGGCGGGGCTCAGGTTACAGGCCCCCTACCTGGGGCTGAAGCGCTTGGGCCCCTCTGCCCAGAGTGGCAGACTCATGCTTCGGTCCCACCTCCTGGGGTCGTGTAGTAATGTTTGTTGTCAGAAGGGGGTCACAGTGCAATGACGTTTGAAAACCCCTGAACTAAAGAATCTTGTTTCAGGCCAATTGCACTAAGCAACTGTCTGATATTACCTGTTAATGTTGTCAGAGGTAAGACTGATTCATTGTCTATATCATCTGATGTCTGGATAAAACCATGGGGTGAAGGAACAATAAGGACAGTTTCATCGTCTATTGCAGACTGATCAACTTGTTCTTCTATGGCTGGAGAACCTAGGTCCTGCATGATGAGAGATTGAAGGATAAGATGTGAGAGGTTTATCCATAATGAGATACAGAAACATTTGCTTCTAGAAAACTGAGTTACATGCTGGCTGCGGCTGAGGTCTTTTTCACAGCGAGTAGTAGTTAGAGGGAACGGAAAATGGCTGACATATTCAAAAGCACTGTTTTAAGTGAACCACAATGGCTATAAACTGAATTTCTCACCATGTTGGCTACTCATCTCTAGATGTGGTAAGACGTATGTTACATATTTACAACACTTATCTACAAGGGGACCAAAACTTGATAAGAGAGCTCTTCAATATAACAGAAAAAACACAATCCAATGGCTGGAACTTGAAGCTAGACAAAGTCATACTAGAAATCAAGTGCAATCTTAACAATGAGGGTAACTTAACCACTGGAAAAACTTACCAAGGGTTGGGATGGAGCCCTGGAAACTTTTCAATCAAGACTTTTTGGGGGGTAAATGATTCTCTAGTTCAAATTTATTCAAGCAAGTCTTATGGCCTGTGTTTACACAAGAGGTCAGACTAAATCACAATGGTCCTTTCTGGCCTTGTAATCACAAATTATTTGTACAACAAATATAATTGCTGTCTGTGAATTTAATAAGGAAGTTAGGGAAAAGAATTAACACCTTACTGACACTTCTCCTCGAGTCATAACTACAACTGCTGCTTTCACTGTCAAGTTCTAACTACTCTAAGCACCACTAAGAGAGAGTGATCTTGACTGCTGTCAGCTAAAGGCTGATTGCAGAACAGCAGGGGTGGCTGGAATTGGCAGAATGAAAATAGCTGGATTGTTCGATTCACAGCTGGAGTGTGGACTGCTTGGGCTAGCTAGAGGCCCTTGTTTAGAGGGATAGCTAGGATGGTCCAGCCAGTTTTACTAAAACCTGTTCCTCTCGGCAGTTTTGTTAGTACCATCTTTGTGACTGGCCACCCAGCTGGTTACCACTTATCAGTTGATGTCAAGCAGTGTACGAATGAACACGTGTATGCGATGCATGTATCATAGCTGGGTCCTCCCTCATTAAGATCCTAAGACCAGATCTTAGCTTGCACTACTTAGTGCAAAGTATGACGTACCTAATTCAATGAGGAAGCAGCCTGCAGAAAGCACAGCATAGCTGGACCTTCCAATACTGAGGAGCGGTTCCTAGGCCCACACTGAAAAGCTGGCCCTCAAGGTACAGGGGATAGTGGGAAAGGCAACTGGGCACTTTTCCAGCTATAGTTATCAAACCCCTGCAATGTCAGTCCATACCTCCCACGCACTGTGACAACTGTAATGGCAGCAGTCGGGGAGAAATGTCTTATACAGAAAGTGAAGTTTACAGAGGCCTTTTTAGAGTCACTCCTACTCCTGAGTACTCCTCTTGACTAAAATAATCCCCTCTATCTCCACTAGTGAAACTGCACAGACCCCAAACTTCCATTTAGCTAGGAGGATAAACAAATGAGAATTACCAAGTCAATTTGCTTTTTCTTCCTAGAATAATTAAACTATTTAACATCCTTTCATACCTTTACCCATAACTAATGTCATGAAAGTTTTGATTTTGAATTGCTAACATTTTTGTCTTCATAATCTGAACATGGTAACTTAACTTATTTTGATTCCTATGTGACAATCCAAGCTGGATATGAGTCAACAGTGTGCCCTTGTTGCCAAGAAGGCTAATGGCATTTTCGGCTGTATAAGTAGGGGCATTGCCAGCAGATCAAGGGATGTGATCATTCCCCTCTATTCGGCATTGGTGAGTCCTCATCTGGAGTACTGTGTCCGGTTTTGGGCCCCACGCTACAAGAAGGATGTGGAAAAATTGGAAAGAGTCTAGCGGAGGGCAACAAAAATGATTAGGGGGCTGGAGCACATGACTTATGAGGAGAGGCTGATAGAACTGGGATTGTTTAGTCTGCAGCAGAGAAGAATGAGGGGGGATTTGATAGCTGCTTTCAACTACCTGAAAGGGGGTTCCAAATAGGATGGATCCTAGACCAGTGTTTCTCAAACTGGGGTCGCCGCTTGTGTAGGGAAAGCCCCTGGCGGGCCGGGCCAGTTTGTTTACTGGAAGGGGCGGCCAGTAAGTCCCTTGGCCTGCGCCGCTTCCAGTGGCTCCGATTGGCCTGGAGCAGCAAACCGCGGCCAGTGGGAGCCACGATCGGCCAGACCTGCGGACGGGGCAGGTAAACAAACCGACCCGGCCCGCCACGGGCTTTCCCTACACAAGC